TTAATAGAGTTCAGACTAATTTCCTTTGTTAAACCAGATTTTGATGACAAGCGTAACCTAGCGACGGGTTTAAATTTCAGTAGAATGTATAGGCCAATGTCTCCTCAAGACGAAATGAAAGCTACAATATGATAAAACATGCACATTGTAACGGGGTTACATGAAATCTTCAGCCGTTCCTATTGGCCGAACTAAAGTCATTATTTATCATTAGTATTCACAATCGATGTTCCATAGTTGCTTCCCCACCCCACCTCTCTCTCTCTCTCTCTCTCTCTCTCTCTCCTCATTCTTTTTTCTGTAATCTCTTTACCCATTAATTTCAAGGTCTAAACATTTCTCTTCGTTCTTATTTCAAATGCACTTCTCAAAAAAAAAATGAGAACACTGCGGTTCGACTAAATTAAATTCTCCTCAGTTGAGCGGACATAACAATTATGTTGTATTAACTTTCTGATGGGTCAACCTCAAAACCCAAATAAATATTTATGAAATTAAGTTACAGGCGAACCATGTTTATCAGACCATCACTTTTGGCAACAATGTGCTTCTAGGAGCATGTAATTAGGATCGAAATATCGAATAAAAGTGAGGAGTAGTCAGTACATTAGGCGTTAAAAAAGATGTTGTATTGCCCTTTGCGACCGACCCCAAAATCTTGAAATATACAGTCGGCTTTTAACTTTTTTTTGTAAAAGAAAATGTTTAATGAATGAGAAGAAGAAAAAAAATGTATTAAAGCATTCAAAACTGAGAAATATACGGGGGGGGGAATGAGTAATAACAACAAAACAAAATTCCGACCGGCCGGTCCATGTTTTGGCACCTAAAAAGCAAAAAAGAGCATGACTTAACAAATAGTGCGATTTGGATCGCAATGCAAAGTTTGTTTGTTTGTTTGTTTGTTTTTTTTCGGGGGGGGGGGCGACCATTCACACACATGGAGAACTCTTGCTCGACGGCAAGAACGTCCGAATTTGATTTCTTCAAGAATAAATGCATTGGCAACATGAAATATATGATAGAGGTAATAAACATCTTGACAGAATAACGAGTAAAAACTGATGATAAACTTAGTTGCTTTCATCAGTGGAAGATTCAGGGGGAGGGGGGCTGGGGGTCCGGTCCCCCAAACCTAGTTACAACCAAAAAGATTTTTTTTTTATAATGGAAACCACAATTTTACCCTTTTTTTGTCTTGCCCACGGGTGGGGGGGGGGGGGGGGGGGGGGTGTGTTGAGTAAACCAGACCAACACAAAAATAGCGCTCACTACCCCCCCCCCCCCCTCCCACCTCACAAGGAGTAGGATGATGACGTTGCTGAGGATAACTCGGATTTTATGCTAAGATGCAGTTTATAAACTTTTGTTTGCGATATTTGTACATAATTCAAACTCGGTTCTGCATAATGTATTTTAATAGTTTGAATATGTTTACCACCGATGAATCTAATATTTCTTACCACGTGGAAGAGCAGATCAAACAGGGGTTTCTTATATTTGCTTTAATAAAATTCACACACCATAAAAGCAACAAAAAAATGCGTGGTAGGGTGGAGGCGTTTACAATGCCGTGTGTGTGTATTGGATTTTTAAAGACGTGTATGAATCAGATATGATCATTTACGTCTGGGGACCGACCTTTCAACGTCACCATCCGAAAGACGTGACTCAGTTTCGAACCTGCGTCCTCAGCTGAATCAGTTTGTAATTTCCATTGTTAGCTGGATTACAGGTGCACACAAAGCTACTTGTCCTTTACCTGTTTCACGAAGCCCTCTTTGCCAAGATCAACGACAACATCCTGACTATAATATATACGTAGTTATGACGCTTCCGACCACCCGTTCATATCTCTGTCTGTCATGACTTTTTAGTCGATGGGCAGCGCCATCACATGTCAGTTATTGGGAAGACTATGGCTGGTAAAAAGGACAAGAAATCCTCAAGCTATGATCTTTCTAAACAGTCACCTAAACAGGGAGTTATCGTTTTTTATATTTGAAAATTTCATGAAAATATGGGACGTTTATATTTAGGGCTTTTATGATTATACGCGTTTATTTCCACATCATAAAACCTCGAAGAGATGGGTAATCAGCCACGTACGTAAGCAAGCTATAGTCAGAAGTATATTGTCTAATTTTCAGGCCCATATCAATAAGGAGTTTACAGATAGCACATGGTACAAATGACCCCAAATATCCACAGATCTTTTACACATGGAGAAGTTCCACTTTGCGCATCTTAGAATAATAACTGCCAAAGTCCTAGATGTGCTTCACGAATACCTTTTGTTTGCCTCTTGAGAAGAATACTTCCACCTGTGTATCAGATAAATGTACTGTTGGTGCAAAAATGAATACTGATTACATAACTTTCATGAGCACGATCCGAGTATTCGTCTCAATGGTTTTACAATTTGGGTACGAATGACCTTGATCTGCCCATGCGCAAATCCTAATTACGAACTCGCTTATTTTGAGATCATCTGTCTCCAAATGTGTAAACTGAAAAGTTTAAAACGTGTATTTTAACGTTTGAAATGTTGTACTTTTGTTATTATTTTGTTGTAAAACCTAAAATATTGGACAAAACTTTCAGAGCAACGTATTTTTATTTCAGATTAATATTAGGGTGTATTTTTTATAAATTTAACTATTAAACGAAAATGTATGGGGGGGGGGGTACTCATTTTAAAAAACAAAACTGATTCACTGGTCATGAAATGAAATACTCACAATAGTATTTTACAAGTAGGCTAATTCTGTGGTATAATATACACACATTTTGAAGTATTTTGCATCTCTTATTTCCTGGTACTATTTTCGATCTTTTCTTATTCCTTATTCATTAAAAAAATTGCAGTATTTCTAATATTACTTTTTGATTTGATCCGGTTGAATTGCGACTATTATTAAAGGCTGGTGCCTTTTCCTCTTCTCGCCGGTAGTGTCGATTTCCAGGGATCGAGTTCACGAGATGTCTAGCTAGTAAGCTCTTCGTGAAACGGTTTAGGAAAATCAGAGACATCTCCGTAGTCGACCGGGATAAAGTTATGACTGTCTTGTCGATGGTTTCGAGAAATGGGCCCTGCAGGGGACCGACGACTTTAAGTCCTCTCCGAGGGACTTGGTATAATTATTAATAAGGATTAGTACCTTACCTAAGGGCACTAGCGTAATTAATGCATAAATCGGTCCACTCTAATTATGTGAAAATTGCGTGAGCTTTAGTCATGGCAATAGAGATATTGCACCAACTTATTACACTCCAAACCCCTATAATTTTTGATAAACATATTAATGTCGTGTGGTGAAAATGATAAACCGCCTTTACGAAAGCACTCTTGGCTTATCTCAAAGCCGCACACCATTTAAGCCGTCATTACCACTTAGGATCAACTCAGGCACTTAGCAAAATATTGTATTCCCTATAGCCTTAGAAATGTTTTTCCCTCTCAATACAAAGGAATTCGTCTGTAAAACACCAGCAGATCCCGTTTTGCACCTGCAGTGAGAAAAGCATAATATTTGAGATTTGGTCACGAGTCTGGATTTTTGTCTGGATACCATCGGATTGAATATCTTTCGAAGGATTAAAAATACACACACGTCATACATGGAAGCGAGCCCATTATTTGGTTTCAATTTGAGCTTAATAATTTAAGTAATATGCGATAATTAACGGAACCCGCTAAGTGCATGTAGTTTCTCCCTTTCTACTTAATTAGTTTCAGCTCAAGGATACGTTAGTGATATATCCCCCGAACGAGCCTCTTATTTCGCGTCTATCATCTATATTACCAGTGAATCGTGGGTGATAAACCTACATCTAGCTAGGAGGGAGGAGTTGTCGTCATTATTATCTATTTACAGTCAAACCATGGTAGTTTTTAATAGCGATCATCTGTCTTAGAGACTGACATTATTTTCTCAGAACTTAATTATTGATCAATAGAGTTCTGAGAAGATGGTACCTATTCTTCAAGAATAAATTTATTGTCAAAATCATTTCATGAAAAAGAGGCTTATTCATTCCAACCTAACGGGCAACATGCAGTGTATCCATGCCATCGTTTCACGAAACCGTCACAAGTACAATTTCGAAAATATCCCTTTGAAACGTGTACAATTAACATGCGTTTCAATGGGATGTCAGCGAACTTGTACTTACGACAGTTTCGTAAAAGGACCCCTTGTGTCCAGTTATTTTGGAGAACAAAATATGGTTAAGATTCGAAGACAACTAGGAATTCAAATATTTTATTTTCAAGAATATTTTTCTTTCTTTCTTCCGTTCCACCTATCTCTTTTTTGGTAACTGCCATGATTGGGGCAAAGAACAAGACTTAAAGCCCCACTGCACTACTTATAGCTACTTGCGCCCTCTATATATCAAACAATGCCTAATCGGTGACCACCGGTCCCCCATGATCCCCTTTTTCAAATGTAAATTGAGAGCTGATTTGATGAGATAACCACCTGTCAGTGACACCCTGGCCAAACTACTGCAGATGGGCTTTAAATGGCACAGTTTACACCAACGCTCAGGAAACACTTGATTAGTTTCAACTCCCGTGAGCAGACAATCAACCCATTTTCCCCTTCCGTTTGCTCGGTTTCAGAAACTGATTAAAACGAAAAGGGATCGAGACTGCGAACATGCGCTAAACAACACGGATGAGCGGGAAAATATGAGGGTATAATTATTATAACCGCCCGTCTCGAGTTTTGGACCGTACTGCAACGCGATATTAATTGCTGGTGGTGATATAGTACGTATAATTATCGCCTGTGGAATAATACGAATGCATGAATGTATCGCTAATGAGTGCATAGATGGATATAAAATGCCCGTGGGATAATACCTCATTATGCGCAAGTGCATGTATTATACTTGGAAGTGTTTGTTCGTGTGATGTTGTGTATTTCTATGCATCACCTGGAAGAAGAAAGTGAATTCACAAATGTTGCCTCCTATATGCCCTTCGAATTCTCTACGTATACAGAGGAGCGAGAGAGAGCTATAGGACATGGACACAGTTCGCCAAAGGTATTGATAGTCTAACAGAGCGTAATAACAACTGTATGATGTACTTCTACAAAATATTTTGGTATGGAAGCTAACTACGCATGCGCATTATAATAGTCAAGACAATAATATAGCCTAGGCCGTGTTGGCATTGCTTATAATCGAACTACAAACAACAGTAGAAGACAGATGGAAAAGTTGACGGTATTCACTGAGAGATACATAATCTGTAAAAGGGATTAAAATAAAATCTACTTTTGTTTAGACCGATGCAATGGTTTTATCTCTAGCTACTAGGGACTTTTAGATTTGCGTGGACTGATACGTGTGACGTCCATTCAAGGCAGTGCATTAAAAGGACGTCGATCGTAGCAATCCCCATCGTCTTCGTGCGAATCTAAAAGTCCCTAATACCAGGGATGAACGTCTCTACATGGCTTCCTAGTTCCCATTCGATTTCGACCCAGTTGTGTTTTGGAATACCTTTTCGATTGAGCCTTTTCGCGTATTTATGTTGTTATAGCTTCTTTAGCCTGAAGTGTTTGACTCAACCGTCGAAATAACTTGTTGTTAAAGTGCGAAATGTGTGTGAAGCAATTAATGTTCGGTGAATCGTGCGATTCTTTGGAATATTATTATTTGACCAATGTATCAAAAGCTTGCTGTAGAACTATATACGTGTATGGAGCAAAATAATGCTTAGTGAGTCGTGCAATTCTTTGGAATATATTTGTTCAACGTATAAAAAGCTCGTTATACCTTAAACCAGCTGTAGAATTACAATACGATGTGTATGGAGTAAATGCATCTTCAACTGTAAAACATGTTAGTGTGATTCGACCGACACGCGAATCAGCAAACGCGTCCGTTTATTAGGTTTGTGGAGCGAACGAGCTCTTTAATTTCCCCGCACGTAATTCACCCGGTTGTATGGTAAGTCGGTCGAGGCATCCGTGTAGCCTTGTAGCCTGGAGAAACTATCGAAGCTCCGTCGACGCAATTCAATTTGTCGGGATGATTCTAGCCTGCGAAACGTCAAACCGCGCCAATATTTGAGAGGAAAGGCGGTCTCGATGGGAGTGTATACGCGGATGACTAGCTAATACTTGCTCTTTATCTGGATGAGCCACTGTACATTGTACACCACGGATAATACAGCAATTGGATTGGATGCACACTTGAGTTAATCTGTGATCACTGCTTTCCAGCTGCATGAGGGTGGAAGAGATTATCAGCCTGAAACTATGACGAACAGAAAATTGAATACCAGTGTAATGAGCACCATCTCCCTTTCTTCTCGCTTTCATCTCGTCATGAGAGTCATGGCTAAGGTAAGCTATAATTACACTCACCCTTTCTTGATAATTTCATTTCATTTCATTTTATTTACTGATGCATTTTATATATATATATGAATAGTTAACAACATAAGTATTCGTAGCTCTTGTAAACAAAAACATTTAGGGGTGTTTAATATTTATAGCTCAAGAATGAAAAGTGGACTGGTTGATTTAAGACCTTTGTTGAATACTTTTAGATGTAAGCTTTAATATGTCACATTCTCAAGAAACATAAATCGGGACAAATCAACTTTTCACATAGGCCTACTTTAAAAAGTACAATACTGGATAAGGGTATGAATAATTTAGTTAACTGTATATATTACATACACAGACAGCATATTTATCGCTCACGGGTGAATACAATTTCACCCGAACAAGCACTGCACGCCATTAGTTTACTGAATAATTCAAGATGTGCATTCAACCATGAGGTAACCAGCAAAGAATTATTTTGTCTTCATTTTCCCTCCCACGGGTTTTTCTTTATTCACACAAAAATATAAAAAATCAGGCCACCAACAATAGTGCTCGTCGAATTATTTTTACAGACGTGTTTCAATAATAGCTGATTATTTATGTCTGGGTCGACATTTTACATCACTAAACTCAGACGAGGTGACTCACATTCAAACCGAGGTCTTGCCAGACGCGCGAATTAAGACAATGGGGTTGACAACGACGAGACCGAGAGTTGACCACCGGGCTAGACCAAGTCACAATTTGCCCCCCCCCCCAGTCCTTCACTTTAGTAAGCCAGTTCGATTTTAGTCAAGAAATATTGTTTTATAGCTTAAATAATATCTTGACCTTGAGAGGGAGCTATACAACATAAAGAGTTTATTATTTACAATTTTGTAACTTCAGACTCGATTTCAACCGCGACAACGATCATTAAATATTGTAGGATCTCATATGATTCCAATATGTTCATTTGAACCAAATTCATGACCCCATACCAAAACGTTGTATTACCTTTAACATTGTGTGCTTTTGGAGCTACAGGTTATTGTTACAAATTTTTAAAAAAATGAGAAGAATTCGGAGTAAGTGTTTGTGACATTACGACATATTTTGTGTCATGTTATTCATTCCTTGATATATACAGTTGGAAGAATTACCCCACCCCCTAAAGAAAATGGGAGAAAACAGTATTTCTCATGAAGTTCCTCTAACTTGGAGTGATTGTTATTGATAAACACAAAGGGGGAGCGATTCAGTCCTCTCCAAATTTAGATATTGCAAAGTCATTTGAAGCATTTACAATCAACGAAATGGGCCCTCTTTCACAAAACTTGTTATCAATAACAAGTTACAATAACTGTACTAGGCTACTGAGGTCGTGGCATTTGATTGGCCAAGGGCGAAGTCGTTATAGAATTTCAGAATGTGTTATTGGTAACAAGTTTTCATGAAACAGGCCCCTGATAGTCAATGCGGGTACACAATGATACATGTAACAGTGTACACGGTACAAGGGCAACGATACAATAATTAATGCATGAAACACCGAAAATGCATAAAGGAAATACAATAGGATGTTTTACCTTGACTGACACAGAAACACAGCGAAACGATGCGTTGTTGTGATTATTATTTTATTTTCCTTTGGATCGAAAAGACCTCGCTAAAGGAACGTAACTCAATAGACCATTTTTAAGATTCAAGTGTCAAGTTCAAGTTTACTTTTTACACATCTCACTTTAAAAACAGCAAGTACATATTACACTATTGCAAATTACACAGTATAGGAACAAAAATCATTTAGTAAATTTACATAAAGTACATGGTTACATAAAACGGGACGATAACTAATGATACGGTCACAAAGGTTCGTACGAACGATAATTTCGTACGAATCTCCGTTTTTCCATTGTCTTTCCGAATTTCGATTGTTTGAAAATCGTTCGTACGGCGTTCGTAGCAGTTCGTAATGGCATTTGTGACCGAGGCTTTACATTAAAAAAAAAGTTTCAACAAACGCACTCGCACACACACACACACACACACACAAACATCAAAACAACATATTGTACAAATTTGAGGATATGGAGGAATCAACAAAAGCTGAGCAGTCTATCAGAAATGTTATTAAATTCAATGCACAAATCTTTGTTAAAGCCTCGGTCACAAGTGCCATTACGAACTGCTACGAACGCCGTACGAACGATTTTCAGACAATGGAAACTCGGGAAGACAATGGAAAACCGGGAGATTCGTACGAAATTATCGTTCGTACGAACCTTTGTGACCGTAGCATAAGAACCTCGCCGTTACAAATTATTTGCTTCACCTGTTATGAATAATTGTATTTCAAAACTATGCAAATTGCATACATTGATTGCTGCTAGGTAGGACAAACACTATGGCTTGCCCAACCTAGCAACACGTAATATAGTCAAATCACATTCTGACTATTAAGATTCAATAATTCGTAACATATTTATGAAATGATTTGTAACGCAGCACTTATACCAAATATGTGTACATT